CTTGGTCCTGCTGTGAGGGCAGGGGACTGGACTCAATGACCTTTCAAGGTCCCTTTCAGCTCTAGGAGACAGGCAATCTCCATTAATAAAGATGATACTGTGAGTGTTCTCCACACAAGACAGAGTGATAGCCTGGATTGCCTGCTGTGAGGAAGGACTGTCCAGTCAATGACTATGCTCATTAGGGACCATGGCTCTCAAGGTGCCCAGTACACACCTGAGGAAGGTGTCTGGTAACTGCAAACCAGCCAATGTCATGGCTGCTGCAATGGGGCACAGGGTTAGGTCACTGGGCCATGTGACCTGCTCCAGCTTGGAAGGTACCAGATGCAGCCTTGCGAGGAACAGAGAGCCAGGAAGAATTGTTGGCCCATCCTGACACAGGATGTACAGCAGAGACATTTAAGTTAGCAGTTTGTAACATCTCTGCTGAGAGCCTGCATCAAGAGCTGGGAGATTCAATGCATGTCATGTATTCTCCTTAACCTCTTCACTCTCATGCTTTTCTTTCTTTTGTTAATCAACCCTGAGATGCTAGATTCTAACGGATTGGCCCAGCGTGATCTTGTGGGCAAGATCCAAAATGTAAATTGACCGGGAACTGTGGCTGGTTCTTTGGGACTGGGGGGACCTATCTGGGATTGGTGAGATTGGGTCCTATAACCCCTCACCTGTGGGCAGGCCCAGGGCTGATGGTGACACAGGGAGAGCTGGGATGTCTGAGGGGTTTTGCTCGTGAGGTTTCCTGCTGGCCAGATTGACAGCTGAAGCGCTCGGTGTGACTGGTTTGTGGCCTGTTTGGAAAGGTCTCCAGTCCAGGGGGTAAGCAGCCCTGAATTTGAGCAATGTGCCCGAGCAGACGCCCTCAGCAGTGCCCAGATCCAGTCTGGTCCTTCGCAGCAGCAGAGGGAGTAAGTCTGGGGGGAGGCAAGGTCCCTGCTTTGCCCCTGGGGAGGAGGGGGGCTGGGAGGCCGGGCGTTCTCCTCCCCTCCCGTTACTCGTCCCACGCCCCCTGCACAGACGGAGGGGCCCATGGGATGCTGTCGCTGTGATTCCACTGAACCCCAGGAACACATGTCCAATGCGGGGGAGGGGGTTAGGGTACCGCATGGTCCTGCTCCTCCCCAGACAGCGGCTCCTCATCACTCGGGGCCTGCGAGTGACCCACGTTCATCACAACCGGGCAGCAAACATGTGGAGTCTGTCGGGGGAAGCGCCAGGCAGCCCTTAATGGGAGAGGCTGGGGCAGAAGTGTCCATCCAGAGGCCTCGGCCAGTGAACCAGACACGCCCGCTGGGCATATGGCTGAATTAGCCTCGGTTGGCGGACAGACGGCCCTGGCAGCTTTGGCCTGGGCAGGTGCCAACTGGACAAGGCCGAGCCAAGGTCACTGTTGTGGCTGCCTGTTTCCAGGCAGCCAAGTCCAGCCCCGGGTTAGCAGCAGCGAGAAGGACTTGGACAACCATCCCACCAGGGAGCAAGAAGCCACCAGGGTCAGGAGGAAAACCTGCAGGGGGCTAGGCAGGGGGCTAGGCAGGAGGCAGGGGGCCAGGCAGCCGCTGCACGGCCGGAGCACAGAAGGTAAACACAGGCTCCTAATTGCAAGTGATCTGGCCACGCTGGAGACGTGGCCCGAGGCCAACAGGATGGAGGAGAAATGCGAAGGACCCCGCTAGGGAGGAACACACGGAAAGGGCAGCCGCAAGGGATCGGGGTTCAAGGGGCATCAGGCCGCAGTCAGAGTCAGAGGGAACTGGTCACCCGAAGAGTAATGGGACAATGGACCGGTGACCCCTCCATGGTCTGAGCCGGGGAGCCCTCGGCCTTGCCCTGCGCCCGCACTCCGAGCCGCGAGGCAGTGCAGGGCCGGCTCCTTGGGGGATGCTGCCAATGGGTCAGGGGCATCTGAGCGGAGGAGATGGACCCATCGCAGGTAACAGAGCAGTTATGTTTAAGGGGGGGCTCTGGATCATCTGGCCCCTTTTGAGTGGCACCTGGCACTAAACACCCCCCGGCCTTTGGCTCTCGTCAGCGCTGTGGGACTAGTCCCTTCATGAGGAGATTGTGGTGATGTGACGATGGTTGTATTAGGCGCAGGATGGGTCACGTGAGGTGTCACGGCAGAGGCTACAAGTTCCTGGCTACGGCTGTTCTATTGTCTGCATGAACCACGTCTGCACCTTGTGCTAGGAACGTGGACGAGACACCAACCACCAACGTGCAGAGCCAGGCAAACAGCAACGGCCTGGCTGGTGAGTTAATGGCCGTTAGGGGGAAGAGTGACCGTGAAGGAGCTAATCGCCCACCTTCCCCAGACGGGTTCTGAGCTGCTGCATTAACACTGCAGGGTCATGTGATCATGCCCCCTGGTACTAGCCTCTATCTTAGACTGCTAGTTGTTTTCGACAAACAGAGGCTGGGAGCTGTGGAGACGGGACAGGATGGGAACTCCAGCCCAGGGCAGACAATGTTGCAGCGGGCAGTGGAAATCACAGACTGTGAGACTTCCCTGACCCCCGGGACATGCTCATTGCTTTGATTATAATTATGTACAATTGATCTGTCTGCAGTTACTAAACCAGTCTGACATCTGATGAAACAGTGTGTTTTGGGTGGAATCTCAGCGCGGGCTAGAAAGGCCGGTGTGTCCTCTCCACGCTAGGGAGGGGGGGAGGGCCAGACTGGGTAATGAACGTCCACTGGCAGACTGGGTAAGGAACGTCCACTGGCCAGGGCCCTGACAGCTCATGAAACCATTGACATGTTTTGTGAGTCTTTAAAATTCTACCAGACCATTTGATGTTTTTAAAGTTTATCTTCGTTTTTCTATTAGTTCTCATTCATTTATTTTCCAACACAGGTCCTGACCGCCTCAGACAAGAGATGGAGCCCCTGCTGGACCCGCCTGTGTAGCAGAACGGCTCCTCTAAGGTAGTGTAGACATACCCAGAGTGTTTCTTTTGTGACGGTACGCCCCAGGACCGCATACCCGCTCCTATTTTCCCATCTTACTTGAATCGAATGGGATTCCCCTCTGGCGTACCAGCACCTGTTTCCTGGAATGGCTTGGCTCCTGATGGAAGTGCGCCTGGGACACACGGCTCTTAAAGGGACCGCGACAGCTCTGAAATCAGGGCTTCTTGCGCAAATGCTTTGACGTTCCCGTTCGGGCAAAAGCCCTTTTCCGGAAATGTTTTTGCACAAGAGGGTCAGTGCAGACAACTAAAAACAGTTTTGCACAAAAAAGCCACGATAGTGAAAATGGCGATCAGGGCTTTCTTGCGCAAAACCGCGTCTAGATTGGCACAGTCGCTTTTCTGCAAAAAAAAAAAGTGTCCGTGCCAATCTAGACGCTCTTTTCCGCAAATGCTTTTAACAGAAAAACTTTTCCATTAAAAGCATTTGCGGAAAATCATG